ATTTTGTAGTGTATCAATATTCTTTGTTGTACTTCCAGAGTTTATTTTGTCAGAAGTAGTTTCCTGATTTTCAGCACCTGATTTTCCCATTAAGGCAAGCAGTCTCCTCTCAATTTCCGCATTGAAATCTTCATACCTTGGATGTAGATGTTTTTCATATAGCCATTTTATGAGCTCGTACTTCCAATCAATTTTTTTCGTGGTTTCTGTTTCCAGAGTTAAGTGATTTGGGTCCTCAAAAGCAATATTTAGTTTGGATAAGTAGGATTTAACATACTCGTTTTGATTTTTTATGAGCATGTTTAAAGCAAATTTGTGGCCTTGTTTGTGGCCCTCTGTAAAAGTGGTGCCGACCACCACCAAATTTGTGCACGCTGCTACAGAGCCAAGATTTTTCATTGCTTTTTCAGTAAGTGTGTTTCCCCTTTGGATGTCTTGTTGGGTTAGGAAGAGGAAGACATGGTCTTTTTTTGTCATTTTTCACATCATTCTTTTACTTGCTGTAATTATCTCTTGATTTGAGCAGTTTTGGTATTGACTACTTGTGTCAATTTGTCTGGCACAGCATCTTTTCAAAATTTGAGTCATTCCTTTTATGGTTTTATCACCAATCATGAGAACTTGAGGGATTTTCTTAGTTTGTATTTTGTCTGGTGTGGCATTCTTTGTGTTTTCCGCAGTAAAATCCGGGGTTTGAGTCTCTTTATCAATGTTGATGCGCAGGAGTGCATTTGTTAGGAACATTTCATCGAGAGTTTCTTTGTGCTGATCAACTTGACAGCCAATTTCACATGCAGTTGATACCCTGGGGCTCTCTGGCGTCTGGCAGCTTGACTTACATGTGGTTGTTGCTTGCATGGGTGGTACTGTGGTTTGTGAAAATGCATTTGTTTGCTTAATTATTGTCTGTGTTGCGATTTCTTTGACCTCTTTGCGTTTTTCAGAAGCTTTTTGCAGTTCTTTAATTGTGTTTACTAAGCTTTCTTTCTCCACTACAATTTTCTTTATTTCACCCATTGCGTCCTCTAACTTTTTTGACAAATAGTCCTCCATTTCAATTGCATCTGTATTAATTTGTTGCTTTAATTTTTGTATGTTAGTGATGTACTTCTCTTTTTGTTCAATTTCTTTGCACAGTTCTTGGTTTCCTTGCTCTAGCAATTTGGCATTTTCTAGTAGCTCTGCAATTGTTTGAGCTTCCTCTTCACAGGCTGCTGAGCAGAACATCTTGTGTTCCTCGATGTGGGTCCAGTGTTTCAGCCTTTCCTGACAGGATTTGTGTGCGACTGCGAAGCATGTTACACAAACATATAGGCTTATTTCTTGATTTCTATGGCATTTAAATTTCATTCTGTTTATTTATTTCGTACTTCGTAGCCTAGGTCAATATTTTCGGGTTTAAGCAGCAAAAACAACAAGAACAGCTGATTTTCCGATCGCCGCTCTCACCGGGTTTGTTTACGTTGTTGCGCTTTTATTTTAGAAATAGGGTTATGTTACCGTTGAAAAATTCTTTGAGTATTTTTCCTTTTTCGTCGTGAACTCAAACTTTTCCGTCCTATTTTTTCGTTTACTGCGTTTCACTTAATTTATTTAACGTTTTGTCGCTGCTTTCGTTTTTTATTACTACGTTGTTTAATCGATTTTCCCGTAATTTTCGATGAACAACATGACCGCACAGTTGATGACGTCGTTTCTGAACCATGAACCATTAAACTACTATAACCATATAAACTATAACCTCTTAAAACAACAATTGGCAATACAGGATTGGTCAGCAGAAATCATGGGAACGAAAGACCCTGAAAAAGCCACAAATTCTTTTTTAAACATATTCAAGAAATCCATGCAAAATTCCACTTCAAAACGCCCTATAATCCCAAATCAAAGAAAAATTAAAGAATGGATTACAACTAGGGTTGCCACCTGTCCGGTTTTCACCCGGACTGTCCGGTTTTTCAAAAGTTTGTCCGGTGTCCGGACGCATGATGAAAATGTCCGGGAATATCTGGATAACTATATAATTGATACCTAATATAAAATTTATAAAGGCGATTGCCGAACGCCTTAGGATATACCCAACTAATTTCTGAACGTTCCTACTTCTTGAATGACGGGTGTGTCATGAACGTCTCTGGTTTCCAGTTAGCGACGGAAAAGTGGACTTTTTTTGCCTAGGCAGAAAAGTTTGTTGCTCCCCATTCAACAAACGTTATCGACGCAATTGTTAAACATAAAAAAGTAGATTATGCGTGACTTGTAACAAATTCGGAGAAAAAATGATATATGTTTCACACGGCAAAAGATCAGATTTAGTGCCTTGGTTGGTTTCCTCGCTTCGCCTTTGGCTATGGAACACTAGTCGCAGCATTAAAATTGTGCTTTTCTGCCTAATAAAACAAATAATTATGTATGTATTGTGTCGTTCTCCCTGTTCATTTACAAGTGTCTCTATTTTTTATTTTTTTTTAATTTTGAAATAGACCGTAACTACGAGGGGTGGCGTTTGAAATTGAGTAGATACCTTTTTCAATTTTTTTCTAAAAATTCATTTTACAGATAGGTATGAGTGTAAATTACCTATGCTACAAAAAAAAGTTAGCTTCGATTATGTACGGGTTTTCGGAAATCAAAAGGTGGCAACCCTAATTACAACCGGTCTGATTACATCCATAAAACATAGAGATAAATTGAAGAATAAACTAAAAAAAAAATTTACCGAGGAACAAAACACGATTTATAAAATATACAGAAACAAACTACAACAACTTAATTAAGAAACAAAAATTTCATTTTTATAAGAATCAAATTGAAATTAATAAAAACAATATTAAAAATATATATAAGATCATAGCGGATGCAACAAACGAAAAAAGGAAAGTGAAGTCTTCCAATCATATGTTTGTTGATGAAAATAATCACAGCTTTTCAAACACACTCGAGATGGCAAATTTTTGCAATACATATTTCAATAACATTGGTGTGGAAATGGAAAAAAAAAATAAACAACTCGCAATACCCTACCACTATAAAAGAAAGCCTTCAAACCTCTTTATATTTAAGACCAGTAACAGAAAGAGAACTTATAAAACAAATATCTACACTAAAAAACGATAGTGCTCCAGGAAAGGATGGAATTTCCACAAGGATTATTTAACATGTACATATGGAAATAATCAAGCCCCTAGTGTACATTATTAATTTAATTTTTGAAACAAGTATTATACCTAGTTATTTTAAGGAATCAGTGATTACCCCAGTCTACAAAAATGGAGAAAAAAATAAAATTCAAAATTATCGCCCCATTAGTTTGATAAATAATTTTGCAAAGGTTTTCGAAAAGTGCTTAAAAGACAGACTTGTAACATTTTTTAATTGCAATAATGTACTGTCCCCAAATCAGTATGGTTTTTCGGAGGGACTAAGTACGGCAGATGCTACGTATTCCCTGGTCTCAGAAATAACAAGCAATCTCGATGAGAGTAAAAAGGTCATAGCGGTGTTCATGGACCTTGCGAAGGCGTTTGATACCGTGCCTCATCAAAAACTCCTTGATGTTTTATCACATTATGGTGTTCGAGGCATGGTATTGGAACTGTTTAAAAACTATCTCTCCGAAAGAGATCAATTTTTGAAGCTAAATCAAACACTGAGTCACCCCTTGAAAATAAAAATTGGTATCCCACAAGGCACCATCTTAGGACTCATTCTTTTCATTACCTACATCAATGACTTACTAAAATTGAACATAAATGGTAAGTTAATATCCTATGCTGACGATACGGTTATTATCTTTACTGGTAAGACATGGAAGGAGACAAAAGAGAGAGCGTCGAGGGGTTTTGGCATCGTCAAAAAGTGGCTTGACTCATTCAAATTGTTGCTCAATTTATCCAAAACTAATTACATAGCTTTTTCTGTGACAGGCGCAAATAGACCTAATTTTATTGAAATTCAGACAAGCAAGGAGAATAACAGTCATATATCAGCAGTGAAGAAAGCTAAATATTTAGGTATAGTTGTTGATCAGCATTTAAAATGGGTAGACCATATATCTTAACTAACAAAGAAATGTCGCTTCTTGATTCATAAATTTTATATTCTAAGAGAATTTCTCAGTACTAGAATGATCATATTGGTGTACAAATCTCTGGTAGAATCATTGTTGCGATATGGCCTTATTGTATGGGGGGGAACATATAAAAGTAACTTGCAACCTCTAAATGTAATACAAAATTCCATCTTAAAAATAATGTTCAGAAAAGAAAGGTGCTACTCAACTAAATCACTATATGACAACATTTGCAACATAAACTGCTTATACATACACTCCATTTGTACATATACATATACATAGAAAAGAAACCCTAAAAAAATTCGTACACCATCATCATCAAACCAGAGCTAATGTTAATAGCTAACAATAAATTTAAAATTTGCTAATTACTTAGCGCCAAAATTTTATAATATGATACCAAAGAAAATCAAAGAAATAGGTAGGATAAAAATGTTTAGTGAGAAGAGCAAAGTATTTATTGTAGATAATTATGAATAATTTTCTAAACTTATGTCATAGGATAAAAAAAAAATAGGATTAAGTTGCCATAAACAAATAATATTGTACTTTAACAAACCCATACAAAATATAATGTCCTCTAAGATAAACCTTTATTATAAGAACAGGTTGTGTTTATTACTATATTATAAATAGTTAAGAATATACTTGGTGCATACAGAGGTATTAAACCTCTAGGTGCCAACAAAATAATTTTTAAATACAAAATACATGTATTGTGAAAGAAAAAAAATTTATTGTAAAAAATATTTAAACCTGAATAAAAATTATTATTATTATTATTATCTATTACCGGCTCTCCAAATCTTATTGTTTTCTAAAGAAAATCCAAGAGCCGGGAATAGAAAACAAATTCCTATCACTTGTACAATAATTATTTTGTATCTCAATTTCTCTGTTAATTTTACTTTTCAATCAAACTCACCAAAGTAGTAACATTGTGCACTTCAGCATCAGCTTGATTATTCAATTCGTGATACTCCTTAACAATTTTCTGCCTGCAAGTCGTCAACTTCCTAATGTTTTCTTCAAGCTTAGCTTGGTTACTCAACAGATTTTGTAATTCGGCCCTTAAAGCTTGAAGTTGACTTTGAATTGTTTTTTTTCTATTTACTGCTGCTTCAATAGTTTCTCGAACATTTCTAAAAAAATATAATACATTATATAATTTTTGTGTATATAAAACTTACTGAATATGTTCGTTGACATCGATTTGCAAAAATCTAGCCCTATGATAAGTGGAAGCGTAAGTTTTGTAGTTTGGATCCGGGTAAAACTTGTCGCCAGTTATTGTTACACCTTGTCTGCAATTCCTTGGAACTCTTCTCTGCAATTTAGAAATTTTTACTTGGAAAAATCTTTAATTGAATAATTTACCATGTCAGACATTAATTCAATTGCCCTGTCACTGTTGGGAATCAACAAAATCCTTTCAGCCCCAGTTTGATCAATAACACAATTAAAAACAACTGGATCTTCGATTACTAAGGCATCAAACAAGGAGATGCAATCTTTTGGGGCTTGTACTAAGTTTCTGCTGACATCGTGTTTCTACAAATAATCAAATAAATTGTAGGTAATACAAACCAGCAAAAATCTTTACTTTATTAATAAACTTTGATGTAATAATAGTTGGCTTTTGTTCGCCACATTTATTAAAAATTTGTTGCAACATTTTATTGTCTTGCTCATTGTCAACTGTAAAGGCACCCAATGTGGCACCGCCAATGAAACCTTCTGCGGCGACAGCCCATTTTTTGTCTTTTAATCTTATGTAAGAGCCTAAAAAAAAATTAATAAAGGTTTTCTATTAAAGCGAAAATTCTTACCTAGTGGTCCTCTTGGTTCCTCTTTGAATTTTTTAATGTCTCGTTTGATCATTTCTTTAACTCTTTGCATGTTTCTGCCGTAAAGCACCAAAGCATTGCCCGAGTCTTGCTGCATAAGTTTCAAGTTTTGTTGTTCTTTTGCTTAAAAAAAAAAATACAATAAATTAAATAAAGCATTGACTCTATTGTACCAATTTCTTGATCGATTTGTCTGATTTCAGCCACTACAGTTGCTTCATCGTTTTGTTTCAGATTAATATTGTTTTTTATTTGAAAAAGATCATTACGCATCGTGTCTAAATGATCATCTGCACCTTTTAGTTTTTCTTGCTTTTTGGCCAACATTGCCATTCGTTCTTTTTTGGCTTGTTCAACTTTAGACATACTATAAAAAAACAAGTAGTAGTTTTTCATTGAACAATTTGATAATGACTCACTTTTCATTACTATTATCGATTTCCTTTTGTAAATATTCCAATTCGCTTATTTTATTTTTAATTTCCAATGCGACCCCTTGCTTTTTCCTTTCGGATTGGTCAAAGGCCCTATTTTGTTCTTCGTACTCGGATTTCGCTTGGTGTTGTTGTCTTTTTTGAACTTCGATTTCTTTGTTCAGCTCTGCAATTTGCCTGTCGTATTCCCTAAAATATATACACATTTTGAAAATGACTATTTTGGTTCTTTTCCTAAACATCAGGATTTGTTTCCAAATTGAACATATTTTAATATTTTTCTGGAAAACCATTGAAGAGAAAATTCTGAAAATTATTGAAAATCAACTTGCAAAATCTAAATTAAGCAAAAATGCAATCAATCTCTTATATTTCAATATTTTTCTGGAAAACTAGTGGAAGGAAAATTATGAAACAGCAGAAATTTTCAGGGATTGTAGTCCTTTGATTGGGATAAAATTCAGTGAAAGTTTCAGCTTTCTATCTTTAATAGAAAAAAAGTTATGACCTTTCAAAGTTTTCCAAAATCTAAATCATAAGGGAGGTACTTTCTTACTAAAACGATGAAATGTCAATTTTTTTTTTATCGAGGTTTTGTATCCTAATGGTCAATTAACATACCCCAAACTCCATACAGTAAATTATTCTCAGATTTGAAGCCAAAATCTATGAAAAAAGGCACTCAGAAAAATTGAAAAATTGATAAATCACCCCAAATTGCTTAACACGATTTTATCTCAGGAACTATAAGTGCAAATGAGCTGAAATTTTCAGGGATTGTAGTTCTTTCATTGGGATGAAATTCAGTGAAAGTTTCAGCTTTCTATCTATAATAGAAAAAAAGTTATGACCTTTCAAAGTTTTCCAAAATCTAAATCATAAGGGAGGTACCTTCTTACTAAAACGATGAAATATCAATTTTTTTTTTATCGAGGTTTTGTATCCTAATGGTCAATTAACATACCCCAAACTCCATACAGTAAATTATTCTCAGATTTGAAGCCAAAATCTATGAAAAAAGGCACTCAGAAAAATTGAAAAATTGATAAATCACCCCAAATTGCTTAACACGATTTTATCTCAGGAACTATAAGTGCAAATGAGCTGAAAAAACAAGTAGTTCTTTGAAAGGGATAAAATTCAGTGAAAGTTTCAGCTTTCTATCTATAATAGAAAAAAAGTTATGACCTTTCAAAGTTTTCCAAAATCTAAATCATAAGGGAGGTACCTTCTTACTAAAACGATGAAATTTCAATTTTTTTTTTATCGAGGTTTTGTATCCTAATGGTCAATTAACATACCCCAAACTCCATTCACTAAATTATTCTCAAATTTGAAACCAAAATCTATGAAAAAAGGCACTCAGAAAAATTGATAAATTGATAAATCACCCCAAATTGCTTAACACGATTTTATCTCAGGAACTATAAGTGCAAATGAGCTGAAATTTTCAGGGATTGTAGTTCTTTGAAAGGGATAAAATTCAGTAAAAGTTTCAGCTTTCTATCTATAATAGAAAAAAAGTTATGACCTTTCAAAGTTTTCCAAAATCTAAATCATAAGGGAGGTACTTTCTTACTAAAACGATGAAATGTCAATTTTTTTTTTATCGAGGTTTTGTATCCTAATGGTCAATTAACATACCCCAAACTCCATACAGTAAATTATTCTCAGATTTGAAGCCAAAATCTATGAAAAAAGGCACTCAGAAAAATTGAAAAATTGATAAATCACCCCAAATTGCTTAACACGATTTTATCTCAGGAACTATAAGTGCAAATGAGCTGAAATTTTCAGGGATTGTAGTTCTTTGATTGGGATGAAATTCAGTGAAAGTTTCAGTTCTTTATCTATAATAGAAAAAAAGTTATGACCTTTCAAAGTTTTCCAAAATCTAAATCATAAGGTAGGTACCTTCTTACTAAAACGATGAAATTTCAAATTTTTTTTTGTCGAGATTTTGTATTGTAATGGTGAATCAATATCCCTCAAACTCCATACACTAAATTATTCTCAGATTTGAAGCCGAAATCTATGAAAAAAGGCACTCAGAAAAATTGAAAAATTGATAAATCACCCCAAATTGCTTAACACGATTTTATCTCAGGAACTATAAGGGTAAATGAGCTGAATTTTTCAGGGATTGTAGTCCTTTGATTGGGATAAAATTCAGTGAAAGTTTCAGTTCTTTATCTATAATAGAAAACAAGTTATGACCTTTCAAAGTTTTCCAAAATCTAAATCATAAGGTAGGTACCTTCTTACTAAAACGATGAAATTTCAAATTTTTTTTTGTCGAGATTTTGTATTGTAATGGTCAATCAATATCCCTCAAACTCCACACAATAAATTATTCTCAGATTTGAAGCCGAAATCTATGAAAAAAGGCACTCAGAAAAATTGAAAAATTGATAAATCACCCCAAATTGCTTAACACGATTTTATCTCAGGAACTATAAGGGTCAATGAGCTGAAATTTTCAGGGATTGTAGTCCTTTGATTGGGATAAAATTCAGTGAAAGTTTCAGTTCTTTATCTATAATAGAAAACAAGTTATGACCTTTCAAAGTTTTCCAAAATCTAAATCATAAGGTAGGTACCTTCTTACTAAAACGATGAAATTTCAAATTTTTTTTTGTCGAGATTTTGTATTGTAATGGTCAATCAATATCCCTCAAACTCCACACAATAAATTATTCTCAGATTTGAAGCCGAAATCTATGAAAAAAGGCACTCAGAAAAATTGAAAAATTGATAAATCACCCCAAATTGCTTAACACGATTTTATCTCAGGAACTATAAGGGTCAATGAGCTGAAATTTTCAGGGATTGTAGTCCTTTGATTGGGATAAAATTCAGTGAAAGTTTCAGTTCTTTATCTATAATAGAAAAAAAGTTATGACCTTTCAAAGTTTTCCAAAATCTAAATCATAAGGTAGGTACCTTCTTACTAAAACGATGAAATTTCAAATTTTTTTTTGTCGAGATTTTGTATTGTAATGGTCAATCAATATCCCCCAAACTCCATACACTAAATTATTCTCAGATTTGAAGCCGAAATCTATGAAAAAAGGCACTCAGAAAAATTGAAAAATTGATAAATCACCCCAAATTGCTTAACACGATTTTATCTCAGGAACTATAAGGGCAAATGATCTGAAATTTTCAGGGACTGTAGTCCTTTAAAAGGGATAAAATTCAGTGAAAGTTTCAGCTTTCTATCTATAATAGAAAAAAAGTTATGACCTTTCAAAGTTTTCCAAAATCCAAATCATAAGGTAGGTACCTTCTTACTAAAACGATAAAATTTCAAATTTTTTTTTGTCGAGATTTTGTATCCTAATGGTCAATCAATATCCCTCAAACTCCATACACTAAATTATTCTCAGATTTGAAGCCGAAATCTATGAAAAAAGGCACTCAGAAAAATTGAAAAATTGATAAATCACCCCAAATTGCTTAACACGATTTTATCTCAGGAACTATAAGGGTAAATGAGCTGAAATTTTCAGGGATTGTAGTCCTTTGATTGGGATAAAATTCAGCGAAAGTTTCAGTTCTTTATCTATAATAGAAAACAAGTTATGACCTTTCAAAGTTTTCCAAAATCTAAATCATAAGGGAGGTACCTTCTTACTAAAACGATGAAATATCAATTTTTTTTTTATCGAGGTTTTGTATCCTAATGGTCAATTAACATACCCCAAACTCCATTCACTAAATTATTCTCAAATTTGAAACCAAAATCTATGAAAAAAGGCACTCAGAAAAATTGATAAATTGATAAATCACCCCAAATTGCTTAACACGATTTTATCTCAGGAACTATAAGTGCAAATGAGCTGAAATTTTCAGGGATTGTAGTTCTTTGAAAGGGATAAAATTCAGTAAAAGTTTCAGCTTTCTATCTATAATAGAAAAAAAGTTATGACCTTTCAAAGTTTTCCAAAATCTAAATCATAAGGGAGGTACTTTCTTACTAAAACGATGAAATGTCAATTTTTTTTTTATCGAGGTTTTGTATCCTAATGGTCAATTAACATACCCCAAACTCCATACAGTAAATTATTCTCAGATTTGAAGCCAAAATCTATGAAAAAAGGCACTCAGAAAAATTGAAAAATTGATAAATCACCCCAAATTGCTTAACACGATTTTATCTCAGGAACTATAAGTGCAAATGAGCTGAAATTTTCAGGGATTGTAGTTCTTTGATTGGGATGAAATTCAGTGAAAGTTTCAGTTCTTTATCTATAATAGAAAAAAAGTTATGACCTTTCAAAGTTTTCCAAAATCTAAATCATAAGGTAGGAGGTACCTTCTTACTAAAACGATGAAATTTCAAATTTTTTTTTGTCGAGATTTTGTATTGTAATGGTGAATCAATATCCCTCAAACTCCATACACTAAATTATTCTCAGATTTGAAGCCGAAATCTATGAAAAAAGGCACTCAGAAAAATTGAAAAATTGATAAATCACCCCAAATTGCTTAACACGATTTTATCTCAGGAACTATAAGGGTAAATGAGCTGAAATTTTCAGGGATTGTAGTCCTTTGATTGGGATAAAATTCAGTGAAAGTTTCAGTTCTTTATCTATAATAGAAAAAAAGTTATGACCTTTCAAAGTTTTCCAAAATCTAAATCATAAGGTAGGTACCTTCTTACTAAAACGATGAAATTTCAAATTTTTTTTTGTCGAGATTTTGTATCCTAATGGTCAATCAATATCCCCCAAACTCCATACACTAAATTATTCTCAGATTTGAAGCCGAAATCTATGAAAAAAGGCACTCAGAAAAATTGAAAAATTGATAAATCACCCCAAATTGCTTAACACGATTTTATCTCAGGAACTATAAGGGTAAATGAGCTGAAATTTTCAGGGATTGTAGTCCTTTGATTGGGATAAAATTCAGTGAAAGTTTCAGTTCTTTATGTATAATAGAAAAAAAGTTATGACCTTTCAAAGTTTTCCAAAATCTAAATCATAAGGTAGGTACCTTCTTACTAAAACGATGAAATTTCAAATTTTTTTTTGTTGAGATTTTGTATCCTAATGGTCAATCAATATCCCCCAAACTCCATACACTAAATTATTCTCAGATTTGAAGCCGAAATCTATGAAAAAAGGCACACAGAAGAATTGAAAAATTGATAAATCACCCCAAATTGCTTAACACGATTT